GTTCCTCGCGGTGGCTAGCCACCCTTTCTCCGGGCTCGAGCCGTAGAAGTGGCGAGTGGTCTCATGAGCGCACTGCTGGTGGCTGGCGGTCCTCGGGTCCGCACCCCTTCTCCCAACTCGAGCCGTGGTGGCGAGTGGTCTCATGAGCGCACCGACGGTGGCTGGCGGTCCTCGGGTCCGCACCCCTTCTCCCAACTCGAGCCGTGGTGGCGAGTGGTCTCATGAGCGCACCGATGGTGGCTGGCGGTCCTCGGGTCCGCACCCCTTCTCCCAGCTCGAGCCGTGGTGGCGAGTGGTCTCATGAGCGCACCGATGGTGGCTGGCGGTCCTCGGGTCCGCACCCCTTCTCCCAACTCGAGCCGTGGTGGCGAGTGGTTTTATGAGCGCACCGTTGGTGGCTGGCGGTCCTCGGGTCCGCACCCCTTCTCCCAGCTCGAGCCGTGGTGGCGAGCCAGCGGTCCTCGGGTCCGCACCCCCTCTCCCAACTCGAGCCGTGGTGGCGAGTGGTCTCATGAGCGCACCGATGGTGGCTGGCGGTCCTCGGGTCCGCACCCCTTCTCCCAACTCGAGCCGTGGTGGCGAGTGGTTTTATGAGCGCACCGATGGTGGCTGGCGGTCCTCGGGTCCGCACCCCTTCTCCCAACTCGAGCCGTGGTGGCGAGTGGTCTCATGAGCGCACCGATGGTGGCTGGCGGTCCTCGGGTCCGCACCCCTTCTCCCAACTCGAGCCGTGGTGGCGAGTGGTTTTATGAGCGCACCGTTGGTGGCTGGCGGTCCTCGGGTCCGCACCCCTTCTCCCAACTCGAGCCGTGGTGGCGAGTGGTCTCATGAGCGCACCGATGGTGGCTGGCGGTCCTCGGGTCCGCGCCCCTTCTCCCAACTCGAGCCGTGGTGGCGAGTGGTCTTATGAGCGCACCGTTGGTGGCTGGCGGTCCTCGGGTCCGCACCCCTGCGCATCAGAGTGTATCTCGGCGAGGCCGCTGCGCTCACACGCATGTGATGCGAGCCTGCGCCACTCCATCCGGCCCGCAGTGGGCCCACGGGATGGTGAAGGGCACATGCGTAGAGAAGTGCGAGGGTGAGAGGCACTGGATTTCCAGAGTGCTCGCGACGGTCGGGAAGCGATCCCGCGTGGCAGCCCCGATGTAGGCGCACCGCCTGGCACCCTCACTTCACCCTCTCTGCTGCATGTTCGAGCTGTGGTTGGCTCTGAAGCAACTTGGCCGATAAAACTTTTCTGTCAGAATCGTCGCAGAAGCAGGACGGCCCGCTGGCAGGAGCGGAGCCGGTCGGTTTCCATTGTCAAGACTGCGCGAAGCGTTGTCGCGGGGCCCAGAGCCGGGCGCGAGGCGCTCGGCTGTGGTAGGCAAGTGGGCGAGCGCCATTGGGCGGCTCAGCCATAGGCACGTCGTAGGAACGCGTTGTCTTGAAAGTAGGCGCGTACGTCCTCTTTCGTTTTCACAGCAGAGCCAGACTCTGTGTGTGAGGGCTGGATGCACCAGTACTCCGGTGTGAAGAAAGGCTACCGCCCCGCTCGTACCTCGCGGGGCTACCGCTCAGCCTTCCGCTTTGTGTATCTCGAGACCTCGAGAGAAGTCCGCCCGCAGCCGAGGGCCCAAGTCAAGAATTGGCTTTCTTTTGGCGGGCAACTACTCGCCCAGCAGCCCGTGGTGCAGATTTTTTGACGATTTCTTTTCCTCGTCGTGCAGATTTTCTGTTGTCGATTTTCTGTTGTCGATGTCTGCTGTGAGAGCGCTGTGTCGCAGAATTCTTTTTGGCAATGTCCACCCCGCCGCGCCGCCGCTCGCGCCGCCTCGCCTCCGCCTCCTCCGCCGCCCCCTCGCCAGCCACGCCGCGTCCCGCCCGCCTCCTCGACCTCCCCACGGACCTCCTCCTGCGCGCCCTCTCTCACTGCCACAGCCCCGCCGACATCGCTCGCGTCGCGGCCGTCTCGTTGCTCTTCCACGCCTCGCTTGCGCTGGAGGCCATCCGCTTGTGGGCGCAAGAGCGCGGCTTTGAGCTGCCGGCGCAGCCGGAGGGCGAGGGCTGCGCCGTGCGGTGGCTGTGCTTTATGGCGTTGCTGCGCGAGGCCAACCCGCCGGCGAGGGCGGCCGCAGGCCGGCACCACAGCGTCTTCATCGACGGCGAGGGGCGGCTCTCGTCGTGCGGCAATGCGCCGGCCTGGGGCCCAGGCCTGCTCGGCCACGGCGAGGGCGTGACGCGGCTCAACACGCCGACCCGCCTCCCCTCTCCGCTGGGTGGCGAGCACGCCGTGAGTGTGGCGGCTGGACACTACCACAGCCTCGCCCTTGCCGCCGGCGGCAGCGTCTGGAGCTGGGGCTGGGGAGCCTATGGCCGGCTGGGCCACGGCGACGAGCAGACCCAGCTGCTGCCGAAGAAGATCGAGGCGTGGGCGGGGCAGCGCGTCGTCGCTGTCTCAGCTGGAGAGAGCCACAGTCTCGCCATCACCGACGGCGGCAGCATGTGGAGCTGGGGCTTTGGAGGCTGGGGCCAGCTGGGCCACGGCGACCAGCAGAACCAGCTGCTGCCGAAGAAGGTCGAGGCCTTGGTGGGCCAGCGCGTCGTCGCCGCGGCGGCTGGAGAGTACCACAGCCTCGCCATCACCGCCGATGGCGCTGTCTGGAGCTGGGGCCGTGGACTCTTTGGCAGCTTGGGCCACGGCGACGAGCAGCGCCAGCTGCTGCCCAAGGAGATCGAGGCCTTCGCTGGCCAGCGCGTCGTCGCTGTGTCGGCTGGGCCTATCCACAGCCTCGCCCTCGCCGCCGACGGCGCCGTCTGGAGCTGGGGCTGGGGAGGCGATGGCCAGCTAGGCCACGGCGACCTGTATCTGCAGCTGCTGCCGAATAAGGTCGAGGCCTTTGCTGGCCAGCGCGTCATCGCCGTGTCGGCTGGAGGCAACCACGGCCTCGCCATCACCGCCGACGGCGCCCTCTGGAGCTGGGGCTTGGGACGCGACGGCCAGCTGGGCCACGGCGACGAGCAGCGCCAGCTGCTGCCCAAGAAGGTCGAGGCCCTAGCTGGCCAGCGCGTCGTCGCTCTGTCGGCTGGAGCCCGCCACAGCATCGCCCGCACCGCCGACGGCGCCGTCTTCACGTGGGGCAAGGGCGAGTACGGCTGCCTCGGCCACGGAGAGGACATGTCGAACCAGCTGCTGCCCAAGAAGATCGAGGCGTGGGCGCCGGGGCAGTGATGAGAAGGGCGAAAGGGTGCGAGGCTCTGTGTTGCCGCGTCGCCCACGCGCCTCTTCGCCACCCGCGAACGTATCCGCGAGGATGGTGAGAGGCGAAGTCGAGTCTCGAGACGGAAGAGCATAGACTAACTAGTAACTTACGATCGGGGCGCCTGGGCACCTCTAGTCCTGTCAAGGCCGTGGGCTGCGATGTGGGGCGTTTATGAGGAGATTGAGCAGCCCGAGGGAGGAGTCACATAAACACGTATGGGAGGTAAAGATGTGCGTCACGCTGCCGGCTTGCCGCAAATAAATAAATAAATAGAGCAGTCACCTCCAGTAGAGATGGGCGACGCACGCAGCCGCAACTTTTCTTCGCTTCTTTGCCGGCAAATTCTTTTCGAGCTAAGAATTGGCTGGGGCTAGTTCCAATTCACTCTGACACGCTCATCTTGAAAACGCGTCCAACGGAGCTCCGTGTTGCTCCCAGCGCCCTCCCCCGCGCTTCCTGCGGCCATGGGCCGATGATACTAGTATGAGAGGTCATCTGGCTACCGCGAGCGCGACTCAACTCGCCGACGTCGTCCGATGATTGTGCCTCAAAGTCAGCCTCCGGAGGCTATCGTGGGGTCGAGCCGGCGGTAGCCGTGACATGCACATGTGCATGTGGTTCCACCACCCCTCGCAGGCTTTGCCTCTGACCGCCACCGTTTCCAGGCTGCCTAATGGGATGGGAAGGAAGGCTGGGCGAGCGTATAGAAGCGTGATCGACCTCGTCGTGGCAACCTGCACGGCAGCGCTGGTAGGCGCGATGAGCGTCGTGCCACCTGACCCAAGACGGGTCGCAGGCGCCGTACCGAGCGTGTCGAGACCGTGTCCTGATGTGATCTGCACGGGTGAGTCACGTCGGCGTCAAAGGAGCGACGTGCGACCTGTCAGAGCTTGATCTCCGATCTCAGCGGCGTCGAGTCGTCTCCGGCGGCGACAATTTTGTCCCTCCCCAGGACGCGCAGAGGCAGCTGCGACCCCGCCGAGTGGACGGGGTCACTCCCGCGCAACCGGCCGAGGGCCCCCCAACCAACTCAGGGGGTTCCCAGCTGGCTTCTGAATGTCCCGGGGAAGGGAAAAAATGGGGCCAAATGGTCAAATCAAGGTTTTGTAACGCGAGCTGTGCCACAGTGAAATGGAACTAGCCTGGGGCTGCAGAAGCAGCGTATCTCGGTCGTTCTTCATATACGGCAATCGCAGAGCAGATTGTGAATGAGCTTGCCTGTGGCGCCGGGGGGGAGAGAGATTTTTAGCAATACCAAACAAATCTAACACTCACGCGTCATTTGGGGCCTGGAGCCCTGTTCACGCGCGCGCGAGACGTGCAGACAGGGTTGCCAGGTGAGAGCGAATGGCGCGGTTCACGCCTCGCACAACAGAGAGAGAGATGCGCTCTGCATGGTGGGACATAAAAGAGAGCGAGTACTTGGGCGAGTAGGCCGTGCGGTCGACGCTGCCGCGCGCGACTTTGCGCGCGAGGCGGCGCAGCTTGAGAACGGCGGTGCGGACCATGGGTGCACGGAGCTAAGTGCCTCGCCGCCCTCCCAGGCGTCGCTTGCGAGTCCCTTGGAGCACTTGGAGTGCAGTCATCAACCGCACATCCAGGGCCGGGGAGCTCAGAAGCGCACCCAGCGGGCCGGATGATTGGCATCGGGTTACGGGCTAGAGAGCCCTAGCCCCTTGTAAAATTCTTTTTCGAGAGGCCCGAGCGACGCGTGTGCAACATCGACACTGCCTCCCTCTCTGCCTGCCTGCCTCCATCATGCCCGAGGCTAATACGACCAGCTGCGACCTGTTCCTCAAGAGCAAGGCCAAGGCGCAGCTGCAGTCGCCCGCGGGCGGCGCGGCTCGCGATGCCGTCCGCTGCGCGCCGATCGACGAGGTTTGGACGTCTGGACGTCCGGGCGCGGAGCTGTCGCCCGACGGCAAGTGGCTCGCGGTCGTCGAGGCGGAGGCGCTGCGCGTGGTGGACCTGAGCAGCGGCGAGGAGGCCTTCTCGCTGCCTCGGCCGAGCGTGCGTGCGCTCGCCTTCTCGCCGCGCGGGACGTACCTCCTGACGTGGGAGAAGCTCTCCGAAGGCGTCGCAGAGAACCTGCGGCTCTGGCGGACGGCGGACGGAGCCTTCGTGTGCGGCTGGGCGCAGAAGCTGCTCGGTGAGAAGTGGCAGTGGCCGGCGCTCCGCTGGGCGGCGGACGAGTCCTTCTTTGCGCGAGCCGTCAGCAACGAGGCGCGTCTGCCGGCCGGAGCCTCGAAGCTTCCTCGAAGCTTCCTCGCCCTTCCCCAACCCGGCCGGCGCCCGCCTCCCCGCAGGTGCACTGCTTCGACGGCGCCGCCCCCTCGCAGACCGTCGCGCAGCGGCTGCGCGTGCCCGGCGTCTCAAACTTTGCCATCGCGCCGGCGGGCTCGCCGCCGCTGGTCGCGACGTTTGTGCCGGAAGGGAAGGGCGCGCCGGCGACGGTGCGGCTCTGGCGGCACGGCGACTACGGCGAGGGCCGCTTCCTCGCCTCCAAGACCTTCTTCAAGGCGGGAGCCGGGCGGCGGAGAGGCCCGCGCCCCACCTCGGCGCCTGTTCGGAACCTTCTCGGAACTGTCCTGCAGGCGGCCGAGGCGCAGCTCAAGTTCTCTCCGGACGGGCAGGCGCTGCTGGTGCGGACGCACGTCGACGTCGACACGGGCGGCAAGTCGTACGACGGCGCCTCGGGCCTCATGCACATGGACGCGTCCGGTGACTTGCCGCCGATGCGGCTCGACTGCTGCCTGAGCCTGCTCGGACCCTTCTCGGACCCTTCCCGGACCCTTCCTGCAGGCGACGCGTCTGTGATGAGGCTGCCAAAGGAGGGCCCGATCCACGACGTGCAGTGGGCGCCGAAGCTCGCGCGCGCTCCTCCCCCCCCCTCGCAGTCCTTGCTCCGAGGCGTTGCCCCCTCCCTGCAGGCGCCCGACTCGAGCGAGTTTCTGGCCTTGTTTGGCTTCTCGCCGCCGCGCGCGTGCCTCTTCTCCGGCGGCAAGGGCCACAAGGTGCTGCACGACTTTGGCGACGACGCGCGCAACACTGTCTGCTGGGCGCCGCACGGCCGCTCCTCGCTTCCGCGCACGAGTCGGAAACTTCTCGGAACCGGCTCGGAGCCGCCTCGGAACCCTCTCCACTAGGCCGCTCCTTCATTCTCGCCGGCTTCGGCAACCTGGGCGGCGAGCTCTCCTTTTGGGACCGAAAGACGCTCCGGTGCCTCCCCCGCACCCCGGCCGCCCAGGCGGCGCCAGAGCGGCGTGGGAGAGCGGCGCATCTCCACCGCCCCGCCGGGTGTGCACCAGGTGCCTCTCGACAGTCGACGCCCACATGACGGTCGCGTTCGAGTGGTCGCCCGACTCGCGCGCCTTCCTCACCGCCGTGCTGTGGCCGCGCCTCCGCGTCGAGAACGGCGTCAAGCTCTGGTCGCCCTCGGGCGCGCTGCTGCAGCCTCTCTCGACCCGCCCGCCGTGGCACCTTCCCCGAGCCTTCTCGGAGCCTTCCTGCAGGCGCGCTGCTGCAGCACCAGCCGCACGACGAGCTAAACTTGCTGGATGTAAACTTTGTGCTCATGGGATGGCTTGCACTGCCGTGGTCGGGGCCCTCTGGTGGGTG